GGGTTTAAATGGTAACATAGAAATTTTGCAGAATTGTGAATTTTGCAGAATTTTTGGTTACTTTTTGTGGAATCTTGCGGAATAATGTTAAATTCAAATGGTAACAACTGAATTTTGCGGAATGTTGCAGATGTTTTTCAAATAAATAAATTATTTAAACTAATGAAAATATTAATTAAAATTAATTGGTTTGTCACAATTAAATATTTATGTCTATAAGTTTATTAATGTTACAAATAATAATAATATTTATTAAATTAACGACAGTTATTATTATTTTTTTTTACTTTTAGTTTTGAAATTTTGTTATATAATTTAGTTCATACTTTCGATACTATTAAAATCAAATATTAATATATTTTTAAATATAACTTACTTCTTATCAATTATTTCAGCGAATTTATATTTTTAGCACATGTTATTTTCTTCATTTAATTTCTTTTTTAATTTCACATATTCCTCAATTCTTTTATTGTTGTGCAACTAGTAACAAAAAAGGTATTCCACAACTTTTCCACATAATTCCTCAAATATAAAGTTACCACAAAATGAAACTTGCAAACTTTAAAACATTACAAAATTAGAATACATTATTCCTAAATATATATTAGCGATTCACTAATAATACTCATCCTTTTTGTTTTCAATTCAATGTAATTGTAAACGTTTAACTTCATCATATTAACTAAAAAAATGCATAATAAATAAAGAACCGAAAAAATGGTGAAACTAAACAATATTCCTACCGTTTTTGTAAAACTAAACAATTACACAAGTGGCATGTCACTCTTTAAAGTCATCATTGTAAAGAAACAAATGATTTTAATGTTAAAAAAAAAACAAATAATTCCACAGATTTTGTTTTTTAGTGAAATCTATATATTCTTCAACTTTCAACCGGTAACAATAGTAAAAAAATCAGCTCAATTCCACACAATTTCACCAATCTTCAGGGTGAAACCTGATTTCAGACAACAAATTTTATATAATAATAAATATAATATATATTTCGGGTCGAGTATGAATACCTCAATTTTGTTTTTAATATTTATATCATGCCCATACATGTGGATATCAATATGTGCTTATTCTATGTGTACATGTATCCGACAGATCAATAGGAATATCGGATCAAATCGAACACTTCTGGTAAGAGCTTCTCCAGCTGTGGAGACTCTTCCAAGAATTTCTAACA